ACACACACACACACACAACACAACAGCGACGTTTCCCGTGTTAATTGAGTATTGCATAATACGCTGCAACATACTGTAGTGTTATGAATGACAAAAAAGTCAGTTTGTTTCCTTGGATAAAATCCACTATTTAATCAAATAGTTTGGCGAAATGTTGTTCACATGGTACAGTCTTTTTTTATCTGATATATCCAACACCGGTTTAACTGAGTGTAGCACTGTAATAGTATCCTCCGTATACTTATCCCTACCCCCCACACTGGTAAAACCGTACTAGTTTACTTACCCCCCTCCTCGATGGATTCTACTGGCCTCTCTTCTAAAAATGCCACAGCATTCAGTCCAGCAGTTTCCCATGGCATCGTGTTAAAAACTGCCGTAAGACAGCTCACTCGCAGGTTGTCATCAGAAGTCAAGGTGGGAGCTGCGCTGCCACCACCTCAATGAACCACTCAGATCCATAAACCTGTCACTTCTTAGATGCAGCCATGAAAGCGACACGTAACAAATACACCTGTAATTTCACATGTATAAAGACAGGGTCGTGATCAAAGACTCACTCACACTTATTACTGCCCACCATATTTCTTCCTTGAAGCGGTAACTCATTGTTCCGCTGTTCCGGCTACACCCACGTGACGATTCATAAGCTATGGTGTGCAAAATGGCTCAAAATACTTGCCGTTAAATACTTCGCTATTTTTTCCAACGTGTTTATTAAAATTCAATGGCACTTACTTGACAATCTTCGTGTGCATGCAAAATAACAGTACGCGTTTTGTGTTTATTAAAAATATTGCATTTTGTGTATTTACCAAAGACTTCGTCTGGATAAGTAAGGGGAAATTACATATGATACTGTTGCTTGGGCTTATATAGGTAGCTCAGATCTGTACTCGCGCCTGGTAGGATTTATGTGATCATATCACCCTGTACCCCACCTACTGCAGGGGTGCTGGACACTGATGACTCTGTCTTCTGCTCCAATAATATACACGTGTCTGTGTATTTCATGAAAGCAAGTTGGAGTATGTAAAAACTTCCCTCTATTCTATATCCAGAAGCTTCTGTCACGACTCACTAGCGTTCCACCTAAACAAAGGACGCTGACCGATATTCTGATGGTAACGTATAAAAGTGAACAGTAGAGGGCAGCCAAGCACCAGTTTATCCGGCATAGGCACATTTTATGAAACCTACCTAATATTCTCTTGACTACAAGAGCATTTCTCAAAACAGTTCATGTATATTGCACAACGTTATGGTTTAGCTACAAAAGCCTGCAACTTATCCAAAATAAGAAAAATGATAAGTCAGTGACAGTGAGGAAGTTGGAATGGACTATCATTCAGAATAGTGCAGCTCGGTAGCATACTCACACTGACATAGGCCTACGGACAGTACATCTAAGCATTTTGACTCTCAGGGTTAAAACAATGCTGATCGAACTTTTCACTTTAGTAGCACTAACTAATTCATTGGTGTAATTATTTGCTTCTCAGACATGAGTTAATTTTATAGGGCAAGTTATACACTCTATACAAAGTACTAGCTTCTGCTCTAAGGTCATGATTAATCACCTGGTCCACCATGGTGGCCCTTATCTCATTGAGGAAAGGTTGGTTACTTTCTTCTGCCTTTTCCCCCGTTCTGCCCACACTAAACTACCACGCATCCCAACTCCCCTTTCTCTTCTCCGTCCTCTTCCACCAGCAGGCAGTTGCCCCTGGTCAATGATTGCTGCTCAGGTTCCTGCACGTTCACCAGGTGTAGTTCTGTTGTACTCTTGCTGCATAAATGTACTTCACAGATAACAGTTGATGAATTACACTTGCTGAGCAAATTCAGTACCCAGTATCACTAGCAGATTAAGATACTCCCCTTTGTAATTGAAGCTCATTATTTACCTAATACTCGTACTGTAAGCATAACAACTTTATCAAATATTACAGGCATACATCACTGAAATTTATGGAATATACTTTTGAATCAATTTGAAAGATTGTTTAACTGTTTTGCATGTGGTGCCTTACAAGATACGTAATCACATCTATATATTGTTTTGGGTATGAAATTATTACAATAGGAACCTACATAATGTATTTTGACCAAAAAGGTCAAAAGCAACTGAAAATTGTACCAAATTATGACAACTGTACAAAACTATTTGCATATATGTATAAAAACATTTGGAAATTTGTGTGAAGCAATGAGAAATCATGTTATGTTGGCCATTAGCGACACAATGGGGTGGTTATTATGCTTGTTGTTTTGCAAATGTTAATTGTCATTGGAAAAATACTCCAAAGCAATCCAGAGAAACTGTAATTGTTTTGGGCAAGTTTCAGGCTTTTGCTGCTAAACCATAGTGTTGTGCTATACACTTGAACTGTTCTGAGGAATGCTCTTATCATCTTGAGAATGTTACAGTTTTTCTTGATTGCACATTTCATGAAACATATTTAACATTCTCAAGACTATAAAAACAATTCTCAAAACAGTTCATGCATATAGCACAACATTAAGGTTTAGCTGCAAAAGCCTGTTACCCAACATACCTAAGCATTTTGACTCTCATGGTTAAAACAATGCTGTTTGTACTTTTCATTTTGGTGGCACTGACTAATTCATTGGTGGAAATAAATTAAAAAATTCAAATCATTTTGAAAGCTTGGTTAACTGTTGTTGCAGCCCCTTGGGTCCCAGAGAGTCTCGACAGGTGCTTAAGTTATTCCCTTTATTTGAAGTTTCAGACAGCGACAACTCTATCCGTCTCGTCAGGTATCTTAGCACCGTGAAAACTGTTTTGAGACGTATAAACAACATTTAACAATCTAATTCACGCAAATACAAACTTCAATAAACACAAACATAGCCATATATCTAATACATAAATACAAATTACAATCATAAATATAAAAAACGTACCTTGCTGCGCTCCCCAAGGAATGCAAATATATTGATATAACAGTCCTTTTCTTTATACAAACAAAGTACAAATTAAGCCTCCAATACAAACAAGCAGCTTCCCTCATTTACGTCTTTAAACTGCCTTTAAAGGGACCTCCTTTTATGCAAACTACGGGATCACCCGCAGGACAAAATTCAAAAGCACAGGTACGCTCACATAAATTCACATACAACCATACTAAGCACATACAGAATAAAATATTCATACGTGAATTAGAAAATGAATTAAACATATATATATAATTTTACCAAAGCAAAATAACAAGAAAGGAAAACACATACAGGGACACTCGCGGTCCGTTACAACTGTTTTGCATGGGGTGGCTAACACGATGATCACATACATATACACAGTAGTTTTGGGTATAAAATTATTACATTGCGAAACTACATAATCTGTTTTGAACAACTAGACTAAAAGCAACTGAAAATTGTACCAAAGGATGACAATTGTACAAAAGCATTTGCATATAGTGTATATACTTAACCTTTTGGAAATTTGTATGAAGCAATATGAAAAGACGTTCTGCTGTGCAGAAGTGACATTAAAGTGGGTGATTACACTTGTTGCTTTACAAATGTTAATTGTCATTTGAGAAATGCTCCAAAACAATCGAGAAAAACTGAAACAAAAATGACAGCTCTTTTAAAAAGGAAATTGCTGTATTTATTTGTTTGTTTATTTATTTTTTAAAGACTTCAACGACATACAGCAGGGTGGTGATCGTTGGGAAGGAAAGATAGGACAGAAGAGAGATAGGGAAATAAATAAATAGATGAACAAACAAATAATAATAATAATAATAAAAAAGAATACAATAAATTTGATTTAAATAAATTAGCTAGGATAATTTTAGTTAATTCTAGCATTGGCTGTAAGTTCCATGTAACGTTAGCTTTTAAAATCTGTATAAGTGTTCTTATGTTCATAAAAATAACAAAGTACCAAAGCAACATTGTTCATTCGGTTTTGTTTTTATACGAAGTGCTGGAGGTAGGCTCAGCACAAATGTATGTTGCAGCTTCCTTAATGATAGACTATCTATGCAGACTGTTTTTGCACCAATTTCTAGCAAAGCAGTGGTGTTTCTGCTACAGGAGTGGGATGACTAGCTCACCATCATGATTGATATGACATAAGCCATTTCAGAGGAGCAGACATTTTACATATTCCTGATGTTTATTTGAATTTGGCATACATGTTATAATAGATGTCGAAGAATTGTGAGTTTGTCATTCAGGAGGTGAGAAAGTTTACTGTGGTGCAGTGGAACAATAGCGAGGATGCAGAGAGTTACAGTGCGATCAAAACTAATACAATTCACAAGTATGACGACTCAAAGATAGAAGAGGAGCCAGTATGCTACAGCAATAGAGTGGCAAACTGTAAAGAAACCCAAGCATGGTTGGCCTGTATATGGTGGCTACATGAAGTATGTAAGCATTAAGTAATTAATTAATAAAAATATAATTACATGTCATGACCTGCTCGTACGATCCTCTTGTGTGCCACGCCCCCTTGTTAACCCCGTGTGAAACCCCAACGTAAACCAGCTGTTTCTTGTTGTTTCATTTAGTCTTGTGTATTTAAGTCCACGTCAGAGTTTGTATCCCCAGTTCTGTCATTGAATTCTTTAGCATGTGTCTGCCTGTTTGCCCAAATAAATCCCCTGTTCGTTGGACTTCGGTCTGCCTGACCTTGATTCCGCGCTCCCTGCTCGCTCACCTACACACGTAAGCAACATTATACAATGTGTTGTTCTGGTCCTGAGATATGATTGGCTGACTAGTGTGTGTCAGGGTCAGCGCCTGTCTGTCTCTGCCCTTCATGTCTCTTCCTCGTTTGGCCAGCAGGTGTTGCTGGCCATCCTGTTCCCATCTCTATGTTTGTGCTTGACCCTTGTTTTCAGTACTTCCTGGACTGCTGCATGGTCCAATGAGTTGAACATATGGCACAGAAGCTGTGGCCCTCCAGTCATGGGCTCTAGGCCAGCCTCCTCTGTTGTTTGTATTTATTGGTTTTCTGTTCCTAAGTGTTTGTTATTAGTTCTTTGCTTCCCTATGGACTATATGCAGTGGATTTCCATTCTGACGTTTCAGCCAGCTGCAGTATTTCCGGTGCACACTAGCTATGGCGTTTTTCACTAGATTGCTGCAGGACCTGCCACGGATAACTGTAAGCGACTTGAATCGCATCATTCAGGCCGCATCCAAGACACCTACATTAAAAAAGGACAAAGGCTTTAAATTGTATGTGTCCAGCTACATACACAACTGTGAAGGTAAATCTCTGTTTTGAGTTCTAAACTGTCTCTGATACTTGCTAGCCATTTACTAGCTGAAGTTAGCACCTGATAGAGCAACGTTTATTTACTAGCTAACGTTAGCATATTGATAGGTAGGTTAACGTCATGAATATGTTGTTTTTGTGCATTGTACTATCCTAACCCCAATGTTAATCTCAGTTTCAAACAAGGAGTCAGGGGAGGTGACAGGTCTGAGTGCTTCAGGTCTATGAGGAAAAGCCAAAAGCCTCACTGTCTGAGTATAAGGGAAAGTCATCCTGCAGGTTCAGTTCAGTTCAGGTAAATAAGAAACAGGTTCCTGTTTGTCAGATCAAGTTTCTGAGTCATTACTGTGAATGAAATACGGTTTAAGACTATCATTGAACTAGATATTTCTATGTACTTGTTTTTTTCCATAACACTTTTTAAAGTTCACTAACAGAATTCCACTAACAAAAGTTCACTAATTTATTATGTGAAGGATTGTCTTTAACTGTACTTGCAGCAGGTACAATTTGTTCTCTTACAGATTTTTGTATTGTGACAGACTGTCCTAAGGGATTCAACTCCTGTGGAGTTACAGGAGTGCCAGTGTACCTGTGTGGCTGGTACATCCTTGTGCAGCAACGTGGCAGCTCTTCTTTTTCAAACTGCCCACTATTCCCAGCTGAGGCTCACATCAGTTCCCCCAGTGTTCAGCTGCACAGAGACTGAACAAAAGCGGCATAAACCAAGGACTATGGTAAGTAATCTGATGCTTTGATTTTATTTATAGATATATGTTCAATAATTATAGAAAAAATGGTTTTGCGTGTATACAGGGTGTTAAACCTGGTCCAGTAAACAAGATGGTTATCCTGTCAGCCAGACCAAGAGAAAGAAGACTGGTAGAAGGAATCAGGTTTGTGTTGCTATCAATACTACACACAGACACTAAAAAATGTAAAATTAATAGTGACTATATTCGTAACACAGCACACCACAGCACACAGTGCACAGCGAAATTTGAGTGTTGGAGTAGAGAGTGGGTACAGTACCTTACTCAAGAGCACCTCAGTGGCAACTAGGTGGGAAATCGAATTCACAACCCTCCAGTCATGAGTCCCATTGCTTGAAATGATAGGCCACCAATGCCCCACAGTGACATTTGGCATGCACAACTACACATGCATATGTATGTACTCCTGTCCCCACCTACCCTTACACATACTTACATACATCTATGGACACACACTCAAACATGCAGACCCACAACCACACATGCTCACACGTAATACTCACACGTAATACTCATTGTTATATACATGCATGCATGCCTACACACATGGTTTTGCACACATATATTTCTTATTTATAGCACACTTGTTTCCTTTTTTGTCTTTTTCACAGAAGCAACTTATGTAAAAATACACCTTATGTTGATAGGTGTTAGCTCATCTCTGTCGGAAATATCAATGCTTAAAGTTCATGATGTGAACCATGACCTTCCTGCTGATGAAGCTCCCATGATCACAACAATGGCTGTTTCCAGTGATGTACCTCTGGTTGACTCCATGTTCGGAGAGGTGCAAGAGGGAAGTGTGCTGTCCTATCAGATGCCAACAAAGACTGTCCCAAGGACCCGTCCGCACACAGACGCCCCTTCTCCTCCACAGCTGCCACTCTCCGATTACAGCTTGGGACCCTCTACATGTGCATTTGTCTGCTCTGAACATCAGCACCATCACATGGCATCCCTTGAGGCATCTTTGGAGACAGCACACAAAATTGAACACAGCACACAAGAACGGA